ATTTTTCTTTTTTTTTGAGACAGTCTCTCACTCTGTCGGCCAGGCTGGAGTGCAGTGGTGCGATCTCGGCTCACTGCAAGCTCCGCCTCCCAGGTTCACGCCATTCTCCTGCCTCAGCCTCCTGAGTAGCTGAGACCACAGGCACCCGCCACCGCGCCCGGCTAATTTTTTGTATTTTTAGTAGAGACAGGGTTTCACCGTGGTCTCGATCTCCTGACCTCATGATCTGCCTGCCTTAGCCTCCCAAAGTGCTGGGATTACAGGCATGAGCCACCATGCCCGGTCCCCATTTTTCAATACAGGGCTTTCACTCTGTTACCCAGGCTGGAGTGCAGTGGTGCAATCTTGGCTCACTGTAGCCCACCTCCCAGGCTCAAGTGATCCTCCTGCCTGTAGCTGGGATTACAGGTGTGCACCACCATGCATGGCTAATTTTCTATTTTTTGTAGAGATGGGGTCTCACCACACTACCTAGGCTGGTCTCAAATTTCTGGGCTCATGTGATCCTCCTGCTGCAGCCTCCTAAAGTGCAGGGATTACAGGTATGAGCCACTGCACCCGGCCACCTTTATGGATCCTAACCCGAACCTGAAACCCAGGGCAGCAGATCAGCCCTGCAAATAGTTCGTCAACTGGAGTTTGAATGCAATGGATTGCACTATGAAGGGCTTGGTGGGATCAGAGATTGGTGGTCTATGGGGTGGTCCCTCTGTTCCCAGAAGCATTACAGGGTGACTGCCACAGAGAGTCTTGGTCAGGCTGCAGGGAGAACAAGGCAAGGGGGCTCCTGGACCCACACCTGTCCAACCTCCCAGTTGTGGACCTGAAAGTCCAGCCTTGCCAGTGATCCAAGGACTGCCCTGGGCCCCACCCAGAGGTCAGCAGGGGACCTCCCCACGACTCTAGGGCAGCCCCTTCCTCCTCCCCTCCCTGAAAGCCTCTGCCACGTCTAGACCCATGTGCCCCATGCCTTTTTGCAGATTGCAGGTTGGTCCTTCCTGGCTCCAGGGATACCAGGCACTGCAAAGAGGGTCCGTTGAGCCCCCATTTACTAGGGTCTGGAGCAGCTTCTGGACTTGCCCCCACCCCTCCAAAGGCAGGGAAAGCACTGGGCCGTAGGATGGAGCTGCAGCTTCTCACCTTGAACCTAAAACAAGCTACCCTACCTTACACCAGGCATCTGGCCGCCTCTCCTCAGTTCCAACCTGGGTTGGGCACGCCTGGCCCATCCAGGGTGCAGAGGGGACAACCCTGGGGCAGAGCAGCAGGCAAGGGAGGCAGCTGGGCTGCCAGTGCCCTGATCAAAACCAGTGCAGGGCTCTTCCCCATACCAACCTCCACTGCTGAGGAGTCCCTCCTATCCTTCAAGGCTTCCCACAGTAGGTCAGGCCTCTGCCTCTGAGCCCATCAACAGGCTAAGTCCTAAGAGGACATCAAAGGTCCTGTGGCTCCCAAAGATTAACAGCACCAGTATCTCCAAGGAGACCCAGCAGAACGGGGCTCTGGGGATGTGACAACGTTTGTGAGTGTCGTTTGCAAACACCAAGTTCACCCACTTGCCCCTATAATTCAGTCATCTTAGAACTGTGAAACCATCACCCCAAAATGAAATCTCAAACCTATTTGTCCCCATTCCCAGCCTCAAACAATCTACTTTCTGTCTGACTTACATTTTCTGGATATTTCACAAAAATGGAATCACAAGGCACAGGCCTTTTGAGACAGGCTTCTTTCACTCAGCATTCTGTCCGGGTTCGCCCACATCACAGAACGTAAAAGAACTTCACTCCTAGCCGGGCATGGTGGTGTGCCTGCAGTCTCGTCTACTGGGGAGGCTGAGGTGGGAGGATCACTTGAGGCCAGTTCAAGGCTGCGATGAGCAGTAACTGCATCTGCGAATAGTCGATGCACTCCAGCCAGGGCAATATAGCAAGACCCTATTAAAAATAACTTCATTACGTCCTGGCTAACACGGTGAAACCCCGTCTCTACTAAAAAATACAAAAAACTAGCCGGGCGAGATGGCGGGCGCCTGTAGTCCCAGCTACTCGGGAGGATGAGGCAGGAGAATGGCGTAAACCCCGGAGGCGGAGCTTGCAGTGAGCTGAGATCCGGCCACTGCACTCCAGCCCGGGCGACACAGCGAGACTCCGTCTCAAAAAAAAAAAAAAAAAAAAAAAAAAAAAAAAAAAAAAAAACTTCATTCTGGCCCGGCGCGGTGGCTCAAGCCTGTAATCCCAGCACTTTGGGAGACCAAGACGGGCGGATCACGAGGTCAGAAGATCGAGACCATCCTGACTAACACAGTGAAACCCCGTCTCTACTAAAAAATCCAAAAAAAAAAAAAAAAAAAAAAACTAGCCGGGCGAGGTGGCAGTGCCTGTAGTCCCAGCTACTCGGGAGGCTGAGGCAAGAGAATGGCGTAAACCCAGGAGGCGGAGCTTGCAGTGAGCTGAGATCGCGCCACTGCACTCCAGCCTGGGCGACAGAGCGAGACTCCGTCTCAAAAAAAAAAAAAAAAAATTCATTCCTTTTTAACAGCCAAATAATCCTCCATATGGATACATTACTCTTACTGATACCAATGATTACTAAACATTGACAACCCATTGTATGAAAACAACTTATCCATTATCATGAGCAGTTCTGCTGTGAACACCGGGCACCATCTGTGTGGAGCTGCATGGTTTTATTCCTCGTGGGTAGATGAACACACACTGGTACATGGGGAAATCCTCAGCCGCCCTCCACTGCCCTTCCAGAAGTTCAGTCCTCTTGCTTTCATCCTCTGCCCCAGCCTGGTGCTGCCCCAAGCCCTGCCCTGGCAGAGAGAACTGGGCACAGCGGGGAGGCTCTCTGAGCCAGAGACTTTGCACCCAGCTGAGGAATGACACGGGCCTGCAGGCGGCTCACTCGGGGACAGGTCTGTGGGGCCCTGCGTCAGAACCCACTTCACATCCCAAAGCCACACCTGCCTTGATCTTCAATGCTGGGCTTAATGTCAGATCTGGCTGACCAGAGGAGCTCAGTAAGGCTCACTGGCTCTTCATCCACCCTGCTGTGGCCTGAACACGTGCCCCCAAAACCCACCTGCTCAAGTCCTCACCTGCAAGGGGATGGTATTAGGTGGGGCATTTGGGAGGTCATCCAGTCACAGGGTAGGATGACCGGGCCCGACCGGTTTACAGTATGTTCTTATAGGAGCCCAAATGGACTAAGACATTAAGATATGAGCTTGCCTGCAATCCCAGCACTTTGGGAGGCTGAGGCGGGTGGATCACAAGGTCAGGAGTTCAAGACCAGCCTGACCAAGATGGTGAAACCCCGTCTCTACTAAAAATACCAAAAATTAACCAAGTGTGGTCGCGGGCGCTTGTAGTCCCAGCTACTCGGGGGGCTGAGGCAGGAGGATCGCTTGAACTCGGAGGGCGGAGGTTGCAGTGAGCCGAGATCGCACTACTACACTCAAGTCTGGGTAACAGAGACTCCGTCTCAAAAAATAAAAAAGACATGAGCTTAAAATTTTTTTTTTTAAAAAGTACTTGTTGGCTGGGTGCAGTGGCTCACGCCTGTAATCCCAGCACTTTGGGAGGCCAAGGCAGACGGATCACAAGGTCAAGATATCAAGACCACCCTGGCCAGCATGGTGAAATCTTGTCTCCATTAAAAATACAAAAATTAGCTGGGCGTGGTGGTGTGCACCTGTAGTCCCAGCTACTCAGGAGGCTGAGGCAGAATAATCACTCGAACCCAGGAGGCGGAGGTTGCAGTGAGCCGAGATTGTGCCACTGCATTCCAGCCTGGACAGATGAACTTATCCAAAAAAAAATGTTGCGGGCGTGGCTCAGCCTGTAATCCAGCACTTGGAGCCAGGGGTCACAGTCAGGATCAGACACGTGAAACCCGTCTCTAAAAAACAAAAATAGCCGGGCGGTGGGCGTATCCACTGGAGCTGAGGAGAATGGGAACCAGGGAGCTGTGAGCGAGATGCCATGATCAGCTGGGCAAGCAGATGTCTCAAAAAAAAATAAAATAAAATAAAATGTTAGCTGGGCACGGTGGCTCAAGCCTGTAATCCCAGCACTTTGGGAGGTCAAGGCAGGTGGATCACCTGAGGTCAGGAGTTCAAGACCAGCCCGGCCAACATGATGAAACCCCGTCTCTGCTAAAAATACAAAAACTAGTCCGGGCACGGTGGCTCATACCTGTAATCCTAACACTTTGGGAAACCGAGGCAGGAGGATCACTTGAGGTCTGGAGTTTGAGACCAGCCTGGCCAACATGGTGAAACACGGTCTCTACTAAAAATACAAAAATCAGCCGGGCGTGGTGGCACATGCCTGTAATCCCAGCTATTCCGGAGGCTGAGGCTGGAGAATCGCTGGAACCTGGGAGGCAGCAGTTGCAGTGAGCCTAGATTGTGCCACTGCACTCCAGCCTGGGCGACGAGAGAAACTCTGTCTCAAAAAGTAAATAAATAAAATAAGATATAAAGTACTTGTCCAGAGAAGTCCATCACCACATGGGGGTGAGAGTGGACCTGGGACAGAGCAAGGCCCTGCAGTCAGTGCTAAGTGGGCATCCTGACTAATCTGGGAGGCACCGGAGGGACGCAGCCTTCAGGGCGGGGATGTGGCTGCAGCGCTTCCTTCTTCCACTTTTTTCTGAATTCTCCTTATTGAACGGCTTTATTTTATTATTTTTTATTTTTGAGACGGAGTTTCACTCGTTGCCCAGGTTGGAGTGCAATGGCACAATCTTGGCTCATTGCAACCTCCGCCTCCCAGGTTCAAGCAATTCTCAAGTCTCAGCCTCCCAAGTAGCTGGGATTAGAGGCCCCTGACACCACGCCCAGCTAATTTTTGTATTTTAGTTTCACCATGTTGGCCAGGCTGGTCTCAAACTCCTGACCTCAGATGATCCGCCCACCTTGGCCTCCCAAAGTGCTGGGATTATAGGCGTGAGCCACCACGCCCAGCCAACTGAATGCTTTTATGATCACAAGAGGCCTCCTGGCAGGTCACTGGCACCAGGAGCCACCCTCGTGCTTGGGAATGGCTGTGGCTGAGACGGGAAGGTGGGCAGGAGGAAGGCCTTTGATGGCTCAAACTGGGGAACTGTGAGGAAGAAGAAGGCCTAAGCTTCTCCTAAGGCCCTACACTGGGGCCAGCAGGCAGCCCGCTGGAAGGCCAGGGCCCAGGCCAGGTGCCCAGCAGGCCAGACCACTGTCTGCTCTTGACAGCCGCTGTACTCGAGGCCACTCTGCAAGGCCGTGGGGGACAGCACTTTCCTCTCATCGAGAATCTCATGGTCTCATATTCACAACTAAACATGCCTCTCGATGCTTAGACAGGACAGGGTGGGTCGCTGAGGTGCTTACACTTTGAAACCACAGGCCAGAAGACTTCTTCAACAGCAAAGTACTGCCAGTGCCGGTCAGCCTCGGGGCAGGAGGTGCTGCTCCCAAAAAACTCCATTCACCTTCGGCCGAAGTTCTGAGCCAGCTCCCGCCGACTGGGTCCTCCCCTCAAGGCCCCCACCAACGGTGAAAGGGGTGGTGCGTGGCAGACAGGCCACGACAGGGCAAGCCCCCACAGAGGACCCCCGAGCCGACTCTGTCTAGTCAACAGCGACCGCGCTTGGCAACCAGTCCTCCCTGGAAAACCCGGCCTGGAATTCCCGAGGACCACCTAGCAGCTAGCACGCCTCCCCAGGCACCTGGGGTCTCTTCTCTGCCTCCTACCAGAGAACATGCAGGGGGATGGGGGCTTAGATCCCCCAGGAGAGCCGACACCCCCTTAGAGCTGATTCCAGGAGGCCTCCAACAATCCCATCAGGGCCAGACCGGGCTGCCATCCACGGCCCTTGTCAGGAGGGAAGAGGCAGGGTCCCTGAAGCCTGAGACGGGGCTGTCTGCCTCTGGAGACACCTGGGCTGTCTCGGGGGTGCATCTACCCAGAAGGTTCATTTCCTGCAGGACAGACGTGTGGTCAGGGCTTGGGCAAAAGCACCGGGTGCAGCTCTGCTGATATGGCAGGAATGTGCCCAGCCCTCACCGGCTGCCACAGAGGAAGAGCAGGTTCTGCACGGCCGGGACAGTGGAGCTGGCATTCTGGCCCGTGACCAGGTGGCGGTCCAGCACAACGTGCACGGCGTCAGGCTCACTTGCTGGGGAGGACCAAGGGCACCAGCCTCAGGCAATGTCCACCCACCCACTGAGAGCCCCGGGCTCCAGGCAAGCGCCCAGGGTCAGCAGTAGGTCAGCCTGTCGGGGTCTGAGTCAGTGCCATGGGGGTCTGAAGGACCCAGGGCGCAGGCGGCTTCTCCCCCAGGCTGCCGCAGATAAGCCCCCCACCCCATCTTCTGTAGGTGCAGGGGGCACCCTCAGGGCTCACCACTGAAGCAGGCGCCCGAATCCTTCACAAAGTCCTCCACCACGAGCGGCAGGCGGGCGAAGCCGGGGGCCCTGATGAGCTCACACACAGAGGGCTGCGGGAGGTGGGTGGGGGCTCCTGAGCCAGGCCCAGGCCTTGAGGCCCACCCCAGGGGTCAGGAAGGTCAAATCAGGGCAGGGAGCCTCACCCAACCAAGTGGGACTGGGGGTGTCACTGCTCATAAGAGGGACAGCTGCTAAGGCTGGAGGCCGGAGAGATGACAAAGTCCAGCCACCTTCCCATGGGGTGTCCCTGAGAGCGACAAGGCCACTACAGGAGGAGGGGGCCAGCTCCCCCAGCACCAGAGCACACAGGTGACTAGAATGAGAAGAGCTTAGTGGGGTGAGCCCCTTGGGGCGGCACCCTCTGGGCAGGAGTGACTCTAACCACTCACCCAAGGGGTCACGCCCACTTGTAACCTGAGACTGGGTTGGTGTCACCCCTCGGGGGCAGCACTGAGTACCCACTAAGGAGGGGTCCCCTCAGCAGGGAAAGTGACATCTGAGCTGGGGGCCAGTTCCACTTCCAGTGAAACCAGCCTCGGCACAGCGGCCACCACTCCCTGCCTCAGGGCCTGTGGATCAGCTGCTCCCACAGCCGTCCCCGGTGTCCACTGAGCCCACTTCACAGTCTTTGGGCCTCAGATCGACACAGGCTGTGTCTCCAAGGACACCCTGGCTGGGCTCTCAGCCCCTCCAACTGCACACACAGGTCTGATGCCCCTCCCTCCCCACGTCCCCTGGTGAGTGGGCCTAGGCTCCCAGGAGACTAGGGGCCAGAAGTTCTGGAGTCTCCGTCCTCATCTCTGGCTGTCGTGGGGGAGGACAGAGCAGGGAGCACAGGGTGCCTCTGTCCTCCAGGCACTCACCCCTGTCAGGCTGTAGCCGTGGAACACCCAGGATCTGTCCTCGTTGGTGGCACAGCACAAGGCGGCAACACCGTGGCCAACGGCGCAGATGGGCTCTGAAAGTGGCACACAGCGTTGAGGCCCTGGACCCCGCCACCCGCACCATGAAGCCCCTCCCAGACGCCCCTGCTTGTGGCTCCCCCAGGCCTGTGCTGCCTGCCTGGCCCCCTCCTCCCAGGTTTCCCTGGAAACCGGGCTCAGCACCTGAGGTGTCCTGGCTCAGCCTGCATAGCTGGCATCAGGAATCTGCTCAGGGGAGCTGGTGCTTCAGGACTAGGCTCTGGTTTAGAGCCCAGATCTCAGGTTTTGGCGGCTGAGACACACGGAGAGGAGGTCCTGAGGTTCCAGGTCTGTTTACCAAACCCCAGGACACTGCCCGGCAACCCCATTGCATAGCTGGCCAGGCCGCCCACCACACTGGCAGGTGCTGTGGGTCAGGCCCCTCCCCGGCTAGACAGGACGTCCTTGTGCGGGCGGGAGGTGAGTCTGAGGCAGTGCCTATGCCTTGCAGTGGGGCCACCCTGGCTCCATCCGAAAGGCTGAGTGTGTTCCCATGGCTGAGGTGGCCACAAACAACTGCTGCCTGTCCAGGCCATGCTGCGGACAGCGGCCCAGCTCCTGCCCACAAAGGGCTGCACAGAGCACTGGCTTGCTGCGGACAGCGGCCCAGCTCCTGCCCACAAAGGGCTGCATAGAGCACTGGCTTGTCTGCCCCGGCCAGTGGACACACTCATCACAGCCCAACCCTGAGCCGGGGCAGCTGCCAGGTCTCCTCCAACAGCCGTCCTCCCTGCACCCCCGCCAGCCTCGAGCCCCAAGCCCGGCCCTGGATGCCAGGCTCTCCCAGAAGGAACCAGGCTGGTGTCCTGCCTTGCTCAGGAGGGCATGGCCCCCACCCTCGGGAGACTGCCCGGAGGCCTGCAAGATGGTCACCAGAAGAGGACAAAGTGTGTGTCGGGAGAGGGGCGGTCACTGCCTCCTGCCCACAACCACCGCAGTGGCCACTGACCAGATACCCAGAAATGCCTACCTGGGTTCTTCCCACCTCTCTTCTGCTGGTGGGAGACCCATTTCTTGTAGGGCTGCACATCCAACCCCTCCCCTGGGTCCCACGGGTCACCTACTGCTCTCAGAGTGGAAGTGCTGCAGGATACGGGCCAGGGAGCCACTGCTGGCCAGGTCGGTTAGGGCCCCAGGACAGCTGGGGATCAGGAGGGCATGGTACCGGGCACCTGGGGGGAGACCACAGACCAGGTAGCAGCCACACATCAATCAAAGTGAGACCACCTGCAGGACCGGGCCCAAGTACGTGGCCAGGACAGACCCTCCACAGGGACCAGCCAGCCTGGAGATGGCATCTGTCCCTTTTCCTCCATGGGCTACAGCTCCCAAGGGCCCCCCTGACTTTCCCGTCTCCACACACTCATCATCTCTCCTCCCCAGAGGAGCTCAGAAACTCTGGGGCCCAGGATGTGGGGCTGGAGGCTGCCCCAGATGGTCACAGGGCTTCAGGGGCAGAACCAGGGAGCTCACTAAGACCCCAAACCTATCTGGAACCCTTGACCCTCCAAGGTCCCAGGCACCCCACCCCAAGGAGTGGGTCCCAGGCCTACCATCAATCGACTCGAGCTTGGCGGGGCTGGCATAGGCCTTGAGGCGGAAGTCTTGCACCCAGCGTGCATTGCTCTCGGTCACATCCACAAATTCCATGGCTTTCCCCTGGAGGAGCAGAGCCCAGGGGCCAAGGGTCAGCACCAGGAATATCCCTGTCGGCTCAGAAGGAGCCTGAAAATGCCGACAAGGAACCCAACAGCATCCCCTTGAGGTACAAAGGCACCCGACCACCCAGCCTCCTCCACTGGGTCTCCCAGGTTGGGGTGGCCTGTCCCAGCAGCAGCCTCAGTGGTTTATTTCCTATCCAACCCACCAACCAAAAATTTTTATACATCATAAATAAAAACCTGCAGTGACGAACACATAATGAATGCATCCTTACTGTGACTTATCTACATCTGATATCCCTGGGTCACCCACGATCAGAGGGTGGAGAACTGCTCCCAGTGGAAACATGTGTGCCCCTTACAGCAGGGCCGCGCCTTGGTCTCCGGCTCACACACGTGCAGAAGCACAGACCCGCAGCGAAAAGGTCTCCTTTGGGCTGGGTGTGGTGGCTCACACCTGTAATCCCAGCACTTTGGGAGGCCGAGGCGGGCAGATCACCTGAGGTTGGGAGTTCAAGACCATCCTGGCCAACACAACAAAACCCCATCTCTACTAAAAATACAAAATTTGCTGGGCATGGTGGCATATGCCTGTAATCCCAGCTACTCGGGAGGCTGAGGCAGGAGGACTGCTTGAACCCGGGAGGCAGAGGTTGCAGTGAGCCGAGATCACTCCAATGTACTCCAGCCTGGGCGACAAGAGCGAAACTCTGTCTCAAAAAAAAAAAAGAAAGAAAGAAAAGAAAAGAAAAGAAAAGGTCTCCCTCATCACAGGTGGGGTCAGAGCCCAGGAAATGGGGACTGGGACAGGAGGACACAACCAGGGTTTGGTCACAGACCCTTCACCCCTCTACCAACTACAGGGGCTCCCCACTCCTCCCAGGCAGCAGAGGCACTCTCCTGACCTTGCCCCCAGAGAGGTGGAGACAGACCCCAAGTGTCCAGTGGGGAAGGAGAGGCTGGACTTACCCCAGGGGTGGCCACCTGCAGGTTGAAGGCGGTGCTGGCCATTGTGAAACAGTGGAGGAAGGACTGGGCCGACACACCTGCAGAGGGTCCCGGTGAGTGTGGGCTCCACAGGACTAGCCTGCCCCGCCTCAGGGTGCTACCCAGACACCCCCATGGCCTCACCCGACCCCAGAACACCCTGAGGAGCAGCCCTCTCCCCTACACCCAGGGCCCACTACTTGAAGCCCTGGGGCAGGGCCAGCCACCCATTCATGGCCAGGAGGAGGAAGCTGGGAAAGCGTCAGGGGGGCACAACCAGGTATGCCAGACCTGTAGGCCATCCCGAGGCCTGCATCCCCCATGGCAAGCTCTTTCCCCAGCCTGGCACTGTCACCTCTGCCCCAGCCAGAAGCTGGGACAGGATGCAGCCTACCTCAACTGTCCATGCCACTCCCACACCCCAGCCTCATCCTGGTGCTAACAGAACCATGAGAGGCCTTTCTGGAAGGCAAACCTGGGTGTGAGGGTCACAGAGTTCAGCTCATCCTCTCACTGAACCACCAGGGACTGAGGCCCTCAGGCACCATGGAGAATGCAGAAGTGTCCTGGCCCCTCCTCGCCCACTCCAGGGAAAGTGCTCAGGGACACTTTCCTCACAAGGGTTCTGAGACTCTGGCCCTCCCCTCCAGCTTTTCCCAGCCCCCTTCTGCCCCTCAAAGAACTTTTAAAAAAAGAAACCCAACACACCACGCCCCATTCAGAAGGCTCTGGGGGTCACTGTCCCACCAGGGGAAGGACACAGCCCAGCCCACCCTGGCTGCTGGACAGCACGTACAAGTTTATTCCAAAGTAGCGTGAGCTGCATCTTTCTACATTTATTTTAATTCTGGGGCCCAATCTGTCACTAGGCTGGAGCGCAGTGGCACGATCTCGGCTCACTGCAACCTCCGCATCCTGGGTTCAAGCAATTCTCCGACCTCAGCCTCCCGAGTAGCTGGGACTACAGGCGAGCGCCACCACACCCGGCTAATTTTCGTACTTTTAGTAGAGACGGGGTTTCACCACGTTGGCCAGAATGGTCTCGATCTCTTGACCTCGTGATCCGCCCGCCTTGGCCTCCCAAAGTGCTGGGATTACAGGTGTGAGCCACCGCGCCCGGCCTCTTCCTTCTTATATAAGTTAATACATATTCACTGTAAAATGTCCTGTAAAGCGCCCAGGAGCCTGCTGCAGGCTCTGTTCCCCCGGCTGCCCGCCTTTCCGGCCTCCTGAAGTGCTGTCCCCAGCCTGCTGGCCCTAAGACCCCATGTCCCCAACATGCCGGACCTGCTCTGGAAACAAGTCCCAACCCACGCCCCCAGGACTGAACCCCACTCAAGGCTCCTCCCACCCAGTCTGGCGGCATCGCTCAGGACCCCCGGAGCTCAGCACATCGTGACGCCACAACCCCACAGCCCCATCTTCCCTGTCCACACTTGAGGACCTACAGACTTCAAGAGGGAGACCTCCGGATCCCAACTCCAGCCCCCAGCTCTCCATGGTGCGGTGACCTTGGGCTGGTCACTTCCCTCTGCAAAGGGCTCAGAACAAAGCCAGGCACCCTCGGGCTCCGCTGCTCATCCCTCCCACGCTGCCCGGAGACCCTGCAGGCTCAGCGCCAGCGGACGCACCCCGCTGCGCTCCGTCCCGCGTGAGCCCCAGGCCAGCAGCGCCCTAGTACCCCGGCCCCAGGACGGGGGCCGGGGGTCGCCTTCTCCAGGAGGGGGCTCCGGGCCTCCTCAGGAGCCGGTGGTTCAGAAGGACAGAGTCCCCGCGGCCGCCCGACCTCAGAGCGGGGTCAACTCCCCGAACGCCCCCTCCCCACACCCGGGCTCCCCTCTTGGAGCGCAGCGGCCTCGGGGACCAAGCCCAGGCACGCGGTTCCCTCCGCTAGAAACGTCGGGCCCGCGAAACCGCCGCGCAGATGAAACTCCGGGGAGCGACGCGGCGCCTTGATGCATCCCGACCCCGCCCCGATCTCCATCCCGACCCCCGGACCCCGCCCCGAGTTCCATCCCGACCCCTCCGACCCCGAGCTCCATCCCAACCCGCGACCCCGTCCCCGTCCCAGTCCCCGCCCCCGCCCCGAGCTCCATCCCAACCCGCGACCCCGTCCCCGTCCCTGTCCCCGCCCGGAGCTCCATCCCAACCCCGACCCCGCCCGCCAGTCCCCGGCCCGTGCCCCGCGCCCTCAGCGGCTTCGGCTTCCAGCGCCACGTGACGCGCGCCCACCGCGTCCCGAACCTCCCGCCCCGGGCAGCCCCGTCTCGGACGCTCTTCGGACACCGGCCCCGGCCGCCGGGCCTCACCTTCCGCGGCGCCGCTGGCCACGAGCAGACAGGCCGGCCTGCTAGCGAGCCGCTCCGACGCCATGGCGCGGGCTCAGCGCTGGGTCTGCGCGTGCGTGCGCGTGCGCGGCGGCTGGGCGTGCCCAGGACAATGCGGGTCACGTGCCGCGGCGGCCGGGGGCGGGGCGGGGCGGGGCGGGGCGGGGCTCGGGCGGGGCTCGGGCGGGGCTGGGCGCCTGCGCGTTTGTACCCGGTCCGGGTCGACTGCGCTAACCCTAACCCTAACCCTGACCCTGACCCTGACCCTAACCCTAACCCTAACCCTAGCACCAGGCCCCTGGCCCCCTGCTGCCAATATGGAGGTCCCAACAAACCTCTGCTCCTACCAGGGGAACCGTCGTGGTTGGGAACAGCCAAGGTGAGGGCTTCCGTGGGTCCCACCCCATCAAAACCATTGGCCTCCGCTGGGCGCAATGACTCACGCCTGTAATCCCAGCACTTTGGAAGGCCCAGGCTAGTGGATCACGAGGTCAGGAGTTCAAGACCAGCCTGGCCAAGAAAACCCCGTCTCTACTAAAAAAAAAAAATACAAAAATTAGCCAGGTGCGGTGGCAGGCACCTGTAATCCAAACTACTCGGAGGACTGAGACGGAAGAATCATGTGAACCCAGGGGGCGGAGGTTGCAATGAGCCAAGATCACGCCACTGCACTCCAGCCTGGGTGACAGTGTGAGACTCCTTCTCAAAAAAAAACAAAAAAACACCACTGGCCTCTGGTTCCCCCTGGCCCAGCCTGGAGAAGGGTCCCTGACCCCTGTCAGACAGGCAGTGAACCCTGCCTCACCTGACGCAGAGCCCTCCTGCCACAAGGGAAGTGGGAGCTGGAAGCTCGTGGCACAGGTAAGGCCGAGAGTTGGGCTGGGTAGCAGAGACAGAGCTCAGTGAGTGTCCAGTGTTAGGCGGCCGTGGGTGTTAGTGGGTGGAGGTGTCTGAAGCCTTGCAGGCCTGTGGTCACAGCACAGGCTGGGCCTAGTTCCTTGGAGAGCTTTCTGAATCTGCACAGGATCTCGTCCCCCACAGGCACACTGTGGGCCTCAAACCCAGGAGCAGGAGGGCTAGGTTGGAGCAGATCTCCAATAGTGTTTGCCTGTAACCTACAGGTGTCCTCCTGTGTACTTTAACTCATTTCTAGATTACTAATAATACCTAATACAATGTAACTGCTGTGTGAAGAGTTGCTGTATCGTGTTGTTTAGGAAATAACAAGAAGAAAAAAAATCAGACGCAACCACTCATGTTTGTTTTTTCAAATATTTGACATCCTTGGTTGGTTGAATCCATGGATGCAGAACCCATAGATCCTGAGGGCCGACTGTACCCCCTTGCTGAGAACGCCCCTCACACAGTGGCTACCCTGGGTGCCCTCTGTTAGCTCAGCCCGACTACCAGGTGGACCTCATGTTGGGGGCTGGGACCAGGAGACATGGGCTCCTTTCTTGGGAAGGGGCGTGTTGGGCAGTCCTTGACGTGACAGGGCCCTTTCCCAGCGGGGGCTCGGCCGGGTTCCCCTTTTACCAAGGCTAGGCTGGGTGGTCTGGAGACTTAGACCCCAGCACCCATGAGTCATGCAGACCCAGAAGCAGGAAGCAGACAGTAAGTGACAGCCGCTAAGACACAAGGAGTCTGGGCCAGGGCTGTGGGCTGGGGCACGAGGGTACCTTCACCTGGGCATCAGAAGCACTTGAGAGAACAGGAGCTGCTGGCTCTGACATCTGCCCCCCAGCCTGGCATGAACTGGCCAGAGACGTGAGATGTGGCAGGTGCCGGCCTTTGTGGTCTGGAGGGGGTTGCAACAAGGAGGTAGGCCCTGTCCTAAGTTGGCCTAGCCTAGTGCCCAGGACATGGAGGACAGGGTGCAGCAGCCCCAGGGAGGGGCATGACAGTTCCCTCCCAAACATACTTCTGGAGCTGCTGCACTCGGCAGGGAGCCTAACCTACCTTGTACCTTCCTTCCCATGTGCCAGGGCGGGTCCCAGGGGGTGGCCTCAGCACTGGCTGCACCACACACATCTCTCCTGCCCCTAATGACTCCCACCTGGGGCACACAGTTGGGCAGCACAGGCCCTGCTCTGCCCAACAAGCCTCTAGGGCAAGTGCAAGTTCAGCCTGGGCCTGGAGACAGCAGATCAGAGCGTGTCCAGGTGCTCATGGACTGGTCACTGAAAGGCAGGGAGACTGGTCCCTGCCCATCCCTCCCTGGGACCAGGGAGACACCGAAGACCCTCGTCAGGCCAGGACCTGCAGCAGCCCAGTGTGGGAGTCCAGAGCAGTGAGTGCCCCCATGAGCCTTGCTCACTGTGCCCTGCTTTTGGAGGATTCTGCCTGGGCCCCTGCCCGTGTCTAGGGGAGGGCCCGGAGGTGACCAGCAGCCTCACCAAGAATGCACGAGGGTGGGAGTCCCGGAAGAGGAGGCGCACCCTCTTAGCAGTGGGGAGGGGATGCTGGAGAGGAAAACAGAGAAACCTCCCCCCAGCCCACCCTGTTCTGCACCAGGTGATACATACCACATGCGCCCTAGGAAGCCACATGTGTGTTGCTGGCTACTAACACGAGAATGGGGGACCTGACATGCTGGTGCAGGTTCCCAGCAAGGCTTAGAGCTGCAGGTCTCCAGGCAGTTCCCGCAGAGCCTGGGGGTCACAGCCTGCCTCGGACAGTCCCCAGACCCCGGATCCGTGGACGCCTCTGTCCCTAGAGATCATGCTGCACATCAGAGCTTTCCCGTTTTCCAGATTTCCTTATAAGCGATTTGACTTCACAGCATGACCTTTTTATACACATTTTCTATCTGGTATTTGTTTAGACCCTGGAAGTGTTCTGAGGCCAGACGCGGTGGCTCACGCCTGGGATCCCAGCACTTTGGGAGGCCGAGGTGGACAGATCACCTGAGGTCAGGAGTTTGAGACCAGCCTGGCCAACATGGTGAAACCCCCAGCCCTAAAATAAAATAAAATAAAATAGCCAGATGTGGTGGTGGACACCTGTAGTCCACTCGGAACTACAGGCTGGGGCAGTACTTGGGAGGCTGGGGCAGGAGAATAGTTTGAACCCAGGAGGCGGAGCTTGCAGTGAGCTGAGATCGCACCACTGCATTCCAGCCTGGGCGACAGAGCAAGACTCTGTCTCAAGGCTGGGCGCGGTGGCTCAAGCCTGTAATCCCAGCACTTTGGGAGGCCGAGACGGGTGGATCACGAGGTCAGGAGATCGAGACCATCCTGGCTAACACGGTGAAACCCCGTCTCTACTAAAAAATACAAAAAACTAGCCGGGCGAGGTGGCGGGCGCCTGTAGTCCCAGCTACTCGGGAGGCTGAGGCAGGAGAATGGCGTGAACCCGGGAGGCGGAGCTTGCAGTGAGCTGAGATTCGGCCACTGCACTCCAGCCTGGGCGATAGAGCGAAACTCCGTCTCAAAAAAAAAAAAAGACTCTGTCTCAAAAAACAAAAAAAAGTGTTCTGTAATAAAAGTGAACTGATAAGCTCTGGGCATCCCTGAGAATTCGTTTTCCTTTGGGAAAGGTTCCTACACGGCTGAGGTTTAGGGGCACTGTGAAGCAGAAGCTGAGCCTCGGAATCCCAGACGGAGACTCCGACCTCCTCCCAGGAGGGAAGCCAGTCGCTGAGCACCTGCGGGAGATTAAAGAGAGAAATGAGGAGGTGAGATCATGACGAAGCCACAGTTGCAGGCAGTGGGGCGTGGCTCAGAACAGGCTGTGCCGGGAAGTCGGAGCAGGAGTTGGCGCCGCCTTGCGGGCTGGCAGAGGACCATCCACTCCCTGGCGTCGGGGCCGTCCGATCTCATGGGAAAGAAACGTGAGACCCCTGGCTGGCTCCACACACAACCTAAGTGCCAGATGGATGAAAGGCCTACGCGTGAGTGAATGCCAGGAATATGAGACTCGAACGTGGCAGGATATCCTTCTGCCCACGATTCTAAAAGCTTACTCGGTAATGGGAGAATGGTTCCAATTTGATAAACTCAGGTTTTTAGAACGTCTGTGCTCCAGAAACACTGGAAGGCAAGTGGCTACTGACTGGAGGAGAGAATTGGATGCCGCAAGCGGCAAAGGGCTCGGGACACACAACACCGCAAGAAATCCAACAAATGAGGAGGCATTCCTGCAAAGAAAAAACACACAGGCTGAGGGCAGTGGCTCATGCCTGTAATCCCAGCACTTTGGGAGGCCGAGGCAGGTGCATTGCCTGAGGACAGGAGTTTGAGACCAGCCTGACCCACATGGTGAAACCCCATCTCTACTAAAAATGCAAAAAAAAAAAAAAAAGAAAAAGAAAAAGAAAAAAAAATTAACCAGGCATGGTGGCAAGTTCCTGTGGTCCCAGCTACTTGGGAGGCTGAGGCAGAAGAGTCACTTGAACCCGGGAGGCAGAGGTTGCAGTGAGCCAAGATCATGTCACTGCACTCCAGCCTGGGCGACAGAGCGAGACTCCGTCAAAACAAACAAACAAACAAAACCGTACAAATGGCACAAAGAGGAAAAATCAAATGGTGAGACCCAAATAGCCAGGAACCTTCCTTTTTCTTTTTTTCCTTTTTTTCCATCCTTTTATCAGCCATAAAAAAGGAAGGAAGGTTGGGCCTGGCACAGTGGCTCACGCCTGTAATCCCAACACTTTGGGAGGCCAAGGTGAGTGGATCACTTGAGGTCAGGAGTTCAAGACCAGCCTGGCCAACATGGTGAAGCCCCATCTCTACTAAAAATACAAAAGCAGCCAGGTGTGGTGGCATGCGCTTGTAATCCCAGCACGTTGGGAGGCTGAGACAGGAGAATCGCTTGAACCCAGGAAGCAGAGGTTACAGTGAGCCAAGATCGTGTCCTTGCATTCCAGCCTGGGCAACAGAGCGAGACTCCATCTCAAAAAATAAAATAAAAAGGAAGGGAAGTTGAACAGACTACAGCATGGAGGGACCCGGAGTGAAATAGGCCAATCAAAAGGACAGATGTTACATGATACCATTTATCTGCAATGCTAGATTTGGGAGAGCCATTGAGGCAGAAAGTAGGTGGTGGGTGCCAGGGGTTGAGGGGAGGGGACGGGGAGTCCATGTGTAATAGGG